AGAGAATTACTATACTCAATCGCTGAAAATGTCAAATCCTAGAAAACATAACATTCTTATGCATGATGTTAACATCGTACTCAAATACTTGCTTGCCAGAGGTTCATTTGATGAATCCAATTTTTTGGAAATAGATGATTCTGATGATTCAGACAATTCTGATGTTAGTTCTCTTTAGAAATAACTCCCAAGAACAGTTTTATATTTTATTTTCACACTAAAATTCAGTCAGATTTGCAACAGCCTTGAAGAGAGTGTTTATGTAAAATTAAATGAACTTTGGCAGCAAACTGCACTTTCTTTTTTCTAAACTGGAAAAGGATTGAAAGACAATTGACTAAAATAGTAATTCTAAAACTGTTGATGAATATATAACATAGAAAAATGTAGTATGTGTGGCCATAATATTTCAAAGGATGAGGAGGAAAGGAGCTGGAGCTATATTGCAGCAGAATTTTGACACAGTATTGAAATTAAATTAGTGATCATCTGAACTAGGTTATTTTAATTTAGCATGCCAATTATAATCCCCAAAAAAACCACTATGAAAAATAACTGCTAAAATTTACTAAAACCTAAAATGATACACTAGAAAATATCTGTATAACACAAAGTAAGGTAATAATGGAGGCATAAAAGAGCAAATAACGTAAAAAAAATAGCAACATTGCAGGTAAAAATTCTACCATATACAGGTTGAGAACCCTTTTTCCAAAATGCTGAGGACCAGAAGTGTTTTGGATTTCATTTTTTTTATTTTGGAATATTTACATTGTAGAGTCGTACAAGGTATAATGCCATTTCAATCAATGAGAGACCGCATATATGACAGTGGTCCCATAAGATTAAAATGGAGGTGAAAAATTTTATACTTCTAACATTGTCATAGCCATTATAACTTCATAGTGCAGACATTACTCACATGTTTGCAGTGATGCTAGTGTAAATAATTCTATGCTACCAGTTAAATAAAAGTATAGCACACCTACAGTGAACTCACTTTTGACAAAGTTGCCAAGAACATACACTGGAGAAAAGACAGTCTTTTCAATAAATGCCAAAGGGAAAACTGAATATCCATTTGCAGAAGAATGGAAGTAGACCTCTGTCTGTCACCATATGTGAAAATCACATCAAAATAGATTAAAGATTTAAATCTAAGACTTCAAACTACAAAACGACTACAAGAAAACACTGGGGGAAATCTCTAGTGCTTTGGTCTGAGCAAAAATTTCTTGAGTAATACCCTACAAGCAGCCAAAGCAAAAATGGACAAATGGGATCATATCAAGTTAAGAAAGTTCTCTGCACAGCAAAGGAAACAGTCAACAAAGTGTGGAGACGACCCACAGAATGGGAGAAAATATTTGCAAACTACTCATCTGACAAGTGATTAATCACCAGAATATATAAAGAGCTCAGACAATTCTGTAGGAAAAAAAATCTAATAATCCATTTAAAAATGGTTAAAAGATTTGAGTAGACATTTCTCAAAAGAAGACGTGTAAATAGCAAACTGGTATATGTAAAAGTGTTCAACATCATTGATCATCAGAAATGCAAATCACAGCTACAATGAGATATTATCTCACCCCAGTTAAAATGACTTTTATCTAAAAGTTAGGCAGTAAACCAATGCCGGTGAGGATGTGGAGAAAGAGAACCCTTGTACAGTGTTGGTGGGAATGTAAATTGATACAACCACTCTGAAGAATGGTTTGGAGGTTCCTAAAAAATTAAAACTAGAGCTACTATATTACCCAGCAATCCCACTGCTGGGTATATACCCAAAAGAAAAGAACTTATGTATGAAAGAGCTATCTGCATTCCCATGTTTTTTGCAGCACTGTTGACAGTAGCCAAGATTTGGAAGCAAACTATGTATCCATCAACAGATGAATGAATAAGAGAAATTGGTGCATATACACAATGGAGTACCATTCAACTATTTAAAAAAAAAAAAAAAAAAAGATGAGATTCTGTCATTTGCAACAACATGGATGGAACTGGAGATCATTATGTAAAGGGAAATAAGCCTGGCATAGAAAGACAAACATCACAGGTTCTAACTTATTTGTGGGATCTAAAAATGAAAACAATTGAACTCATGGACAGAGAGAGTAGAAGGATGGTTACCAGAGTCTGGGAAGGGTAGTTGGACTGTTGGGGGAGGTGGAGGTGGTTAATGGCTACAAAAAATACACAGAATGAGTAAGACCTAGTATTTGATAGCATAATGAGGTGACTGTAGTCAATAATAATTTAATTGTCCATTTTAAAATAACTAAAAGTGTATAATTATATTGTAACACAAAGGATAAATGCTTGAGGTAGATACCCCATTCTCCCATGACGTGATTATTAAGCATTGCATGTCTGTATCAAAACATCTCATGTTCCACTTAAGTGTATATACCAACCATATACTCACAAAAATTAAAAATAAAACATGTTCAAGAAGTCTAGCACATACAATTACATATACTACATAATACTTGATAAAGATAATAAACAACTATATACTTGTTTGTTATTTACTTTTTACCATTATTATAGAGTGTATTTCTTACACTTGTTTTTTTAAGTTACTATATAATAACCTGAGACCCTTCAGGAGACATTCCAGAAAAAGGCATTGTTATCAGAGAAGATGACAACTCTATGCATATCATTACCCTTGAATACTTTTCAGTGGAACAAAATGTGGAGGTGAAAACAGTGATATTGGTTATCCTGATCCTGTGTAGACCTAGGCTAATTTTCTGTTTCTTAGTTTTTAACAAAAAAGGTTAAAAAGCTTTTTCTATTTTAATTTTTTAACTAATAAGGATATATAAAAAGGAAATACTTTTGTACAGCTGTACAATATGTGTGTGTTTTAAGCTAAGTGTTATTACAACAGTCAAAAAGCTTAAAAAATTAAGTTTATAAAGTTAAAAAATTACAGTAAGGTAAGGTTAATTTTTTACTGATGGAAGAACACTTTTTTACAGTAAATTTAGTGTAGCCTGGGTATACTGTTAACGTTTTAGGCCTTCATGTTCATTTACCACTAACTCACCCAAAACAATTTTCAGTCCTGCAAACTCCATTCAGGGTAAATCCCCTGTATAGATGTGTACCATTTTTTTACCTTGTATATTGTATTTTTACTGTAGCTTTTCTATATTTAGACACATAAATATTTACCATTGTTATAGTTGCCTACAGCAGTCAGTACAGTAACGTGATGCATAGGTGTATAGCCTAGGAGCGCAGTAGGCTATACCATATAACCTAAGTGTGTAGTAGTGTGTACCATCTAGGTTTGTGTAAGTACACTGTATGCTCACACAATGACAAAATTGCTGAACGATACGTTTCTCAGAGTGTATCTCCATTGTTAAGTATGCATTATTGTACTTGCTGTTCAGCATCTCAAATCCAAAATCCGAAATGCTCCAATGAAGCATTTGGAACTTTGATTGTCATGTTGCCGCTCCAAAAGCAAGGATTTGGGATTTTTGGATTTCAGATGTGCAACCTTTTAATATATTGAATGTAAGTATGTTGAACATTGTAACATTCAGGGATTGGCAGAATGGGTTTACAAAAAAATTAGAATCCAACTTTATGCTATCTACAAGAGATAGACTTTAGATTCACAGACACACGTAGGTTAAAGTAACAGGATGAAAAAAGATACACCATGTAAGTAGTAATCAACAAAAATGGTAGAATGGCAGTATTTAGGTCAAACAGAAAATACTTAGAGTAGAAACCGGTACTAGAAACAAAGACATTTTATAATGGTAAAAGGATGAATAGTGAAAACATACATCAATTATCAACACACCTAAAAACAAACTTTTTGTAGATACATGAAAAGAAAATCTACAGTATTTAAGGGAAAAGTAGATAATTTGACTGAAGTTGTTGAAAAATACTCCACTTTCGATATTTCATAGAAAAACTGGACAGAAAATCAGCAAAGTTATAGAAGTCTTGAATAACATTGCCAACCTGACATAACAAACATCCAAAGATCACTTCATCCAACAGTAGAAGAACACACATTCTTCTCAAGCAAGCTTTAAACAGTCTCCAGGTGAGACCATATTTAAGACTGAAAAAAAGTCAATAAATTTAAAGTGAAGACATACAAAACAGTTTTCTGTCAATAAAATGATTGAAGACTTACAAAACAGTTTTCTGACCAAAATGGAATTAAATTAAAAATCAACAATAGTTGCTTTGAGACATCTGCAAGTATTTGGAAATTACATGACACATTACTAAATATCTCATTAGTCAAAGAAGAAATAACAAAGGAAATGTAAAAGGATTTTAAACTGAATGAAAATGGAAACACATCGTATCACAATTTGTGGTGTCAGCCAAAGCAATGTTTGTAGAGAATTGTGTATCCTTAAGTGTCTGTCTTTAAGAAGAGTAACAAAGCTAACTGAAGACAAGCAGAAGGAAGGAAATAATAAAGATTATCATAGAAATTAGTGATAGAGACAGACAGGAATAGAGATTGCCTATGATGGTGGATGCCAAATGAGTGATCTTATTGGAGTGCAGAAATATTATAAAACTGATTTATGGTAATGGTTGAACTGCTGGTTAAATGTAGTAAAGATCATTGAATTGCATGCAATACTTTGAGCGTGTGTATTGTATATAAAATATGTCTAATTTTTCAAAGCAAATGTGGGAAATAAGATTATATAGCATTATGTTTATCCAGATGTCCCATAATGTTTATATTAACATTTTTTAATGACGCCACTAAAACATAGATTGATTTTTAAGTTTCCAATTATTTTGACCTCTTAATACTCTCTTTCTAGAGCCAGTCTTATTTTAGAAAAGAATTCCTTTTTCTTTGTTTTCTGGCTGTTAGAGATTAGACATTCTATGTGAAACTTTTAATGAAAAAAACAAAAACCAGTTTAAATTAACTTTGCTTTCCATTTCTGCGTTTACTACATTTATCTAATTTTGTTTTGGTTTAGATCACTGTGTCCACTACTATGATCTTCGTAACACTAAACAGCCAATCATGGTATTCAAAGGACACCGTAAAGCAGTCTCTTACGCCAAGTTTGTGAGTGGTGAGGAAATTGTCTCTGCGTGAGTATTACTCCCCTCAGAGGTCAAGCTTAATACAGAGCTCTGTACTTAAACACCTACCAGTTTGTAATGTCACTGAAGATGTATGTAAACTATAATGTTGGAGTATATGTGCTTTTTCTTAAATAGTATTTTTTTTATCTTGTCCAATTAAAATAGTGTGGATTCTGGTCTGTATTGTGCTCTACTATATGTAAATTGTGGATATAATCCTGAAGATACTGGTTTTTTTATATATGCTCCCCCCTTAACTCATCCTCCTATGTTTAATTGCATTTGAACTTCAGATTGGATTTTAGCTATTGCTTCTTAAGAAGAGATAAACAACATAGTCGATGCAATATAATGAGAAGTATTTTATTTATTAAAGTCAACTAATGTGTTATTGTATATTTTATCTAGTTGCAGTATAGTGGTAGAATTATTTTTGGTTTTAAATATTACTTGGTTGGCTTTTACACTGACATGTTCATTTCTCTGTGATTTCATGGTGATTTTAAATATGTTGAAAAGAAAACTTTTTTTTTTTTTTTTTTGGCACAGAGTCTCACTCTGTCACCCAGGCTGGAGTGCAGTGGCGTGATCTCAGCTCACTGCAGCCTCTGCCTCCCAGGTTCAGGTGATTCTCCTGCCTCAGCCTCCCAAGTAGCTGGGACTACAGGCACATGCTACCACTCCTGGCTAATTTTTGTATTTTGAGTAGAAACAGTTTCGCCATGTTGGCCAGGCTGGTCTTGAACTCCTGACCTCAAGTGATCTACCTGCCTCGGCCTACCAAAGTGCTGGGAATACAAGCGTGAGCCACCACGCCTGGCTGACAGATGAACATTCTAACTCAGTCTGGCTCCAGAGACTGCATTCTTAACCAGCAAACTGCATTGCCTCTAATTAGTAGTGATGAGTTTCGTGTCAAGAAATTTTAAATACATTCTTACTCTTTATACTTTTCCTCAGCTCTACAGACAGTCAGCTAAAACTGTGGAATGTAGGAAAACCGTACTGCCTACGTTCTTTCAAGGGTCATATCAATGAAAAAAACTTTGTAGGCCTGGCTTCCAATGGAGATTATATAGCTTGTGGTAAGTAAAACCATCGTTTCCAGGAACTTTTTAACAGGTATTTGTTATTGAAATTGAACTCAATGGAAATAGACTAAATATTAAGTCAGGAAATGGTGTGTGCACTTAGAAGATAGTATAATAGACATGATGCCCCAGCATTATTGATTTTCCTTGTGTTGTACTAGAAGAGCATTAGTCCTTCCCTTTTTTATTGTGTACAAACCCTGAACACCTCAAATACCTGAACACCTGATTTTTAACTGTTTTGTAGTTGTTCTCCATTATAACGTAATTCTTTAGATACTGCGTGGGAGACAGAAAAGGTTAAGTTCTGTTAGTAATATTTCCAATTTTGGAGACATTATATGTCTTCTTAAGCTTGATATTCATTTTCCCTTACCTGCTGTTCTCTCCATGAAGTAATCTATTTGCATAGTATTGATCTGTTATTCTAGGACTTTTATTGTTGATAATTTATACAAATTTAAATAAGAAATAGAAAAATCAAATTTGATATTATTCAAATGCTCTGATATATCTAATGCCTGAATATATGAGCTTTGATCATACTTTTAAATGACTTGGCCTTTATTCAGCAAAGTTGACTTTCTCCACATGTGTATGAGACTGCCAAAGCAAATATCTGGAACAATTATCCTATCTTAATAGATGGCTCAAAAATACAGTTCATAGACCATTAATCAAATAATTCCTATACTGAGAAATGGAAATAAATTGTGTAGGCTATTAAAATCTGCCTATGTAAGTGTTGCCAGTTTCTTTTACCTCTCTAAGTGGAAATCTTTCTAAATGTAATTTCAGATTCTTGCTATAATAACATATTTCTGGTTCTACTATAGACTGTTAGCTTGGTGCAGAAGTTAAAAGTAATGACAAAACCCACAATTACTTTTGCACTAACCTATATAAATGATTTTTATAGGGTAATTTTAGCCTCGGAATTATCAATATTGTCATATCATTTAACATTGATTGTTTCTTTAGATCAGTAAAGTATAGCTTTTGTCCAAGAATCCTTTTCTTACATGATTTCTAATTAGTCCTGTAATCTAGCCTTTCAAATTTGACCATAAAAGATCTTGGAGCAAAAACTTTGGGTGATAATTACTATTAGAATGTGATGTCCTAATTCCGAGTTTTCCTATTCTAAAATATTATTATTATTATTATTTGTTTTCAGGAAGTGAGAATAACTCTCTGTACCTGTACTATAAAGGACTTTCTAAGACTTTGCTAACTTTTAAGTTTGATACAGTCAAAAGTGTTCTGGACAAAGACCGAAAAGAAGATGATACAAATGAATTTGTTAGTGCTGTGTGCTGGAGGGCACTACCAGATGGGGTAAGTTTTCATATCAGTTTTTTCACCTTGGGATCTCCTATTATGCATTATGTATACACAGGGTTTGATTAAATTTTAAAATATAAATTGGTGTGTGGTATGTACTATTTTTAAAACTTTGTAATGTGTCACCAAAGACAATAGGCATTTTAGGTAGTGATTGAAATGCACAGTAATAGAGCAATGTAATGGTGTCATCATGTCCCTCTGTGACCCATAGCATCTAGTGCATATCTCAGTTATAACGATTAAAATATTGTCTCTTCATATCTCTTCTGTAAGACTGGAAAATCCTCCAGAATACACATTCCGTCTCATCTTCTTTATTGATTATGTGCAGTATATGCTTGATAAACATTAAGCTGAGCTGGTATTTTAATAGGGAGAAAAAGAATTGGTGCAGGTAAAGGAGAGTGGCCTATATGGTGCTCTAATTAAATACTATTTCAAAGTAGAATTGCTTTCTGCAAAATACATTTATATATGAATATTTAAGCATATTTAGTATATTGATGAGAAAGTTATGCTACTAGGTTGTATGAAGAGAAGTTGCCTCAGACTTTTCACTTATGTTTTAAAGTATAAGGTTTTTCATAAGTTATATAAAAAAAAATTCTTGTTACTATCTTGATTTATATAAACATGAGTTGTTAGTATTGTATTTTTAAAATAGCTTTTTAGGTGCTTAGTTAGGTTTATTTTGACAAAATAAAATTCTGACAAAATTCTGACTTGATATGTAATTTAAAAATCCAAGTTTCAGGTATAGTTTCACTTTAATTAGATATATTCTATTGCTGTCTTAAAGTTTGCTAATTGACAGACTAGGTAATTTGGACCAACCCTTCCTCCAAGTAAAATTAGAAAAGTAGGACCAAATACATGTATTTTAAAAACAAGAACCTATTTGAAAGCATTGGAAAGCAAACAAGACAAGACACAATTACTGAATTTGGATTGTGACCCTGGCTTTTGAATCTGCTTTTCCCCTGTGAGCATTTGTCAGTTTTGGTGGGGTGGTTAAAAGCACTTACACTAGCTTCACAGGGTTGCAGGGACTGGAGCTCAGTGCCTGACATTATGTGAGTGACTACTTTTTTTTAAGTCCCCACAGGGGTATATTATAGGAGAAACCAGAAGATAAGCCTTCGTAGAGATTGCATCTGAACTTTTTATCAGTCTCTGAAATTGAATTGAGGTGACCCTTCATTGCTGATATTCACAGGATGCAAACTTAAATCCTCTCTGAAAAAAGATGAGATCATCTAAGTGCTTTATTTTTTTTCAGTTTTGTAACTACAATAACTAGGGCACAATAAAAAATAAACAGACATAGTAAAAGATAAGACAGCATGAATTAAACCAGCCTAAGCAACAGACTGTAGAAACAGTCACAGCAGCTCTAAATATTGGAGTTATCAGACAGCTTGAAAGTAGCTACGCTTATAAGATGAAAGACAAGATTGAAAATTTTAACTGAGAACTGGAAACTATTTTTAGAATGAAAATATAATTCTGCTTCTGGCCCCTTCCAAATTTCATGTCCTCACATTTCAAACCTAATCATGCCTTCTCGACAGTCTCCCAAGGTCTTAACTCATTTCAGCATTAACTCAGAAGTCCAAAGTCCAACATCTCATCTGAGACCAGCCAAGTCCCTTCTGCCTATGAGCCTGTAAAATCATCAGCAAATTAGTTAATTCCTAGATAGAAAGAGAATACAGGCATTGGGTAAATACAGCCATTCCAAATGGGAGAAATTGGCCAAAACAAAGCTACAGGCCCTATGCAAGTTCAGAATCCAATGGGGCAGTCAAATCTTCAGGTTCCAAAATGATCTCCTTTGACTCCATGTCTCACACCCAGGTCACACTGATGCAAGAGGTGGGTTCCCATAGTCTTGGACAGCTCCACCACTGTGGCTTTTCAGGGTACAGCTTCCCTCCTGGCTGCTTTCACAGGCTGGCATTGTCTGTGGCTTTTCCAGGTGAATAGTGCAAGCTTTCAGTGGATCTACCATTTTGGGGTCTGGTGGATGGTAGCCCTCTTTTCATAGCTCGCCTAGGTGGTGCCCCAGTAGGGACTCTGTGTGAGGGCTCCCACCCCACATTTCCCTTCTGTACTGCCATAGCAGAGGTTCTCCATGAGGGCCCACCCCTGCAGGAAACTTCTGCCTGGTCAGCCAGGCATTTCCATACATCCTCTGAAATCTAGGCAGAGGTTTCCAAACCTCAATTCTTGATTTCTGTGCACACGCAGGAACAACACCACATGGAAGCTGCCAAGGCTTGGGGCTCGCACCCTCTGAAACCATGGCCCTGGTTCTATGTTGGCCCCTTTTAGTCATGGCTGGAGCAGCTGGGACACAGGACACCAAGTCCCTAGTCTGCACACAGCATACGAACACTGGACCTGGCCCAGGAAACCACTTTTTCCTCCTGGGTCTCTGGGCCTGTGATGGGAGGGGCTGCTCTGAAGACCTCTGACATATCCTGGAGACTTTTTCCCCATGGTCTTGGGGATTAACATTCGGCTCCTTGTTACTTTTGCAGATTTCTGCAGCCAGCTTGAATTTCTCCCCAGAAAATGGGATTTTCTTTTCTGTTGCATTGTCAGGCTGCAAATTTTTCAAACTTTGGTGCTCCATTTCCCTTATTAAACTGAATGCCTTTAACAGCATCCAAATCACTTCTTGTATGCTTTGCTGCTTAGAAATTTCTACCAGGTACCCTAAATGATCTCTCTCAAGGACAGAGTTCCACAAATCTCTAGGGCAGGGGCAAAATGCCACCAGTCTCTTTACTAAAACATAACAAGAGTCCTTTTTGCTCCATTTCCCAGCAAGTTCCTCATCTCCATCTGAGACCACCTCAGCCTGGATTTCACGTCCATATCAGTATCAGCATTTTGGTCAAAGCCATTGAACAAGTCTCTAGGGAGTTCCAAATTTTCCCACATTTTCCGGTCTTCTGAGCCCTCTAAACTGTTCCAACCTATGCCTGTTAACCAGTTCCAAAGTCACTTCCACATTTTGGGGTATCTTCTCAGCAGCACCCCACTTCTGGTACCAATTTTCTGTATTAGTCCATTTTCACACTGCTGATAAAGATATAGTCAAGACTGGGTAATTTACAAAAGAAAGAGGTTTATTGAACTCACAGTTCCACGTGGCTTGGTAGGCTTTACAATCATGGTGGAAGGTGAAAGGCATGTCTCACATGACAGCAGAAAAGAGAAGAAAGTTTTTGCAGGGAATCTCCCCTTTTTAAAACCATCAGATCTCGTGAGACTTATTTACTATCACAAGAACAGTTTGGGAAAGACCTGCCCCTGTAATTCATTTACCTCCCACCGGGTCCCTTCCACAACATATGGGAATTCAAGTTGAGATTTGGGTGGGGACACAACCAAACCATATCAGAGGAGTCGTTTTCATTCCTTTAAGCCATCAGATTTTCTTTTTGACAGATAATAATTGTAAGTATTTATGTGGTACAGTGTGGTGTTTTCATACACATGTACATTATGGAATGATTAAGTCAAACTAATGAGAATATCTGTCCTCTCACATGCTTTTTTTTTTGTGGTGGGAACATTAAAATCTTATTCTTTTAACAATATTGAAATATGCACTACATTTTTGTTAGCTACAGTCACTCTGCTATGCAATATATCTCAAAAATTTACTCTTTTTGTCTAATTAGCTGAAACTTTGTAGCCTTGGACCAACATCTTGGCATCCTCCCACTCCCATCCCCCACCTCTGGTAACTACCATTCTATTCTCCATTTCTCTGAGTTCAGTTTTTTAAGATTCCACATATAAATGAGATCATGCAGTGTTTCTTTCTGTATGTGATTTATTTTACTTAGCATAATGTCCTCCAGGTTCATGTAAAGCTGAATAGTATTCTATTATATACAGTTTAACCTTGAACAACGTGGGGACAAGGGGCACTGACCCTCCACTCAGTTGAAAATTCGGGTATAATTTGATTCCCTGACCCAAAAGCTTAACTACTCATAGCCTACTGTTGACTGAAAATCTTACCAATAACATAAACAACCAACATAAGCTAGAGAAAATAAAATATTATTAAAATCATAAGAGAAAATATAGTTACTGTTCATTAAATGAAGTGAATCTTAAAGGTCTTCATCCTCATCTTCACATTGAGTAGCTGAGAAGGAGGAGAAAGAGATGGGGTTGGTCTTTCTCTGGAGTGGCAGAAGAGAAAGAAAATTTGCATATAAGTGGTTCCTCATAGATCAAGCCTGTGTTTTTTCCAGGATCAGCTGTATATCATGTTTTCTGATCCATTTGTTTGTTGATGGACACTTAGGTTGATTTCGCATCTTTGCTATTGTGAATAATGCAATGAATAATAGAGTGCACATGTTTTTTTCAGTATCCTAATTTTAACTCTTTTGAAATTGAAGGGGGATTCAATGCCCACAAGTGTGATTGCTAGGTCATATTGCCATTCTGTGTTTAGCATTTGAGGACCTCCATATTATTTTCCATAAAAGCTGTACTGATTTACATTCCCACCAACAATGTTACAAGAGTTCCCTTTTTTCCAAATTCTTGCCAACGCTTTGTTATCTTTCATCTTTTTTTAACACACCCCATTTCACAGGTGTCATTTGTCTTTTTGATGGTAGAAATTCTACCTGGTATGAGGTGATATCTCATTGTGGTTTTAATTTAAACTTCCCTGATGATTAATGATATTGAGCATTTTTTCATATACCTGTTTGTTATTTGTATATCTGTTTTTGAGAAATGTTTATTCAGATTATTTGCTCACTTTTTAAGTGGGTTATTTGTTTTCTTGCCATTTAGGTGTTGGAGTTCCTTATACATTTTGGTTAACCCCCTAACTGATAGATAGTTTGCAAATATTTTCTCCCAATCCATATGTTGTCTTTTCACTCTCTTCCTTTGTTGTGAGGAAGCTTTATATTGATAGTTTGATGCATTCATGCTTGTCTATTTTT